AAGTACTGGATCGTACGCTCCGACTGACCATCTGTCTCGGGGTGAAAGGTTGTACTAAACTCCAACCTTGTCCCCATGGCTCGGTGCAACGTCCTCCAGAACTGACATGTGAACTTGGGATCTCGATCAGACACAATCTCCACGGGCACTCCATAAAGCTTAACAATGTCCTTGACGAATAATTCGGCGTAATCACTCGCCTTCATAGTCGTCCGGACTGGCAGATAATGGGCAGACTTCGTAAGGCGATCCACTATTACCCAAATCGAATCATGCCCGGCCCTCGACCTCGGCAGTCCAATCAAGAAATCCATGGTGAAGCACTCCCACTTCCACAGGGGAACATCAAGGGGCTGCAACAACCCTCTCAGTTTCTAGTGCTCAGCCTTCACTTGCTGACACACCAGGCACCCATCCCCGAACTTCGCTATCTGCTTCTTCATGCCACGCCACCAGAAAGACTTCCTCAAGTCCTGATACATCTTCGTGCTACCAGGATGGATGGTGTACGGAGCACTATGGGCCTGTCTCAGGATCTCTCTCCGCAGTTCCCACACCTTCGGAACACAAAGTCTACCCTCGAAGACCAAGGCCCCATCAGATGCGACTACGAATCCACCAACTCTACCGGCTGCTGACAACTCCCTCAGCCGGCATAAGAAACGGTCATTTGGTTGCTCGACGACTATCCTCTCTCAAAGAGTCGGTCCCACAACCAAAGAGGCCAACATGCCGCCGGCTGCTGAAGTCGACTCCACTGCCTCTAGCTGCAATCATTCGAACTCTCGATGAAGGACATCCTGCCCGGTAAACAAGCAAGATAGTTGGCCATAACTCCTCCGACTAAGGGCATCGGCTACCACATTAGCTTTCCCAGGATGATAGCTAATGGTGCAGTCGTAGTCCTTGACCAGCTCCAACCATCTACGCTGCCTCGTGTTCAGCTCCTTCTGAGTGAAAATGTACTTTAGGCTCTTGTGGTCGGTAAAGTTCTCACACTTGCCTCCATAGAGGTAGTGCCGCCAAATCTTCAAGGCGTGGACAACTGCAGCTAACTCGAGATCATGAGTGGGGTAGTTCTGCTCGTGAGACTTCAACTGCCTCGAAGCATAGGCTACGACTTTCCCATGCTGCATAAGGACACATGCCAAACCAATCTTCGAAGCATCACTATAGATGGTGAACTCCAAATTAGGGTCGGGTATAGATAGGACAAGTGCAGTAGTGAGTCTCCTTTTCAACTCCTGGAAACTCTCCTCACATTGCGGACTCCAATCAAACCTCACGGCTTTCTTCGTAAGGTTGGTCAGTGGATGGGCTATCTTCGAGAAGCCCTCTATAAACCTCCTATAGTATCCTGCTAACCCCAGGAAACTATGAACATCTGCAGCACTTCTTGGCGTATCCCACTTGCTCACCGCCTCAATCTTGCTGCTATCCACATCAATGCCTCGAGCTGTCACAATGTGGCCAAGGAATGCCACACGATTCAGCCAGAACTCGCACTTCGAGAGCTTAACATACAACTTCTCGCGGCGAAGAGTCTCCAGCACAATCCTCAAATTCTCCTTGTGCTGATCGATGTCTCAGGAATAGACCAGAATGTCATCGATGAACACAATGACGAACTGGTCCAGGAAAGGATGAAAGACCCTATTCATAAGGTCCATGAAAATGGTCGGAGCGTTGCTGAGTCTGAACGGCATGACTACGAACTCATAGTGGCCATATCGGGTACGGAAAGCAGTCTTGGAAATATCCGACTCCCGGATCTTCAGCTGATGATAGCCAGAACGCAAGTTAATCTTTAAGAAGACGCTGGCTCCGCTCAGCTAGTCGAAAAGGTCCTCAATACGGGGAAGGGGGTACTTGTTCTTGACTGTAAGGGCATTCAACTCCCGATAGTCAATGCATATGTGCATCGATCCGTCTTTCTTCTTCACGAATAGGATGGGCGCACCTCACGGTGAGACACTCGGACGAATAAAACCGAGCTTAAGCAACTCCTGGATCTGGGCCTTGAGCTCTTGAAGCTCCTTCGGCGCCATGCGATAAGGGGCCTTAGAAGTGGGGCCGGCTCCTGGAATTAGGTCAATGGTGAACTCCACCTGGCGGTCGGGCGGTCCTCCAGGCAAATCATCAGGAAATACGTCGAGGTACTCGCAAACAATGGATACTCTCTCGGGCACCCGCTCATCAACAACGTCGGATACCAAGGAAACAAGATAGCCCTGACAGCTACCCTTGGAAAGGCTCTTCCTAGCTTGCATAGAAGAGATGACCCGAGGCACAGTCCTCGAATTCACCCCATAGAACACAACAGGCTGATCGGAAATGGGATAGAGGATGACTTCGCGCTCTTGGCACCGGATAT